TAAGGCAGCCATAATTAAAATGCTCCAGTGAACCATTGAAGAACACTCTTAAAATAAATTAAATAGAAACGGTAAGCAAACAAAGAATTATATACAAAGAAGAACTCAATGGAAATTTTAGAACTAAAAATTACAATAGCCAAAATTAAAAACTTGCTGCATGAGCTCGTGAGAGAAGAGACAATCAGCAAACTTGAAGACACAATAGAAATTACCAAATCTGAATAACTGAGACAAAATTAGACTGAAAGGCTGAAAAGTAAATTGAAGAGACTCTCTGTGACCTGTAGGACAATAATAAAAGATCTGGCATTCATGTCATTAGAATTGTCAAAGGAAAAGAAATGTAGGGTTTAAAAAGGATTTAAAGAAATAATGACAAAAATTTCCCAAATTTGACAAAAGTCACAAACCTAGGGATTCAGGAAACAGAAACCCAAATAGGATAAATCCAAACAAATCCATGCCAAGACATGTTATGACCAAACTTCTGAAGAGTAAAGAGAAAGGAAAAATGATTGAAAGCAAGTAAACAGAATGATGCATTACCAGTAGTGGAACAAAGACTCAATAGTGCATGCTGCATCAGAAACAACAGAGGCCAAAAGGAAGTAGCAAATTTTTCAAGTGCTGAAGAAAAACAACTGCTAAGTTATAATTCTACATACAGTGAAAATACCATTCAGTAGTGATAAGGTTTAGCTGTGTCCCCACCCAAATCTCATCTTAAACTGTAATTCCCATAATCCCCATGTGCTCAGGGAGAGACCTAGTGGGAGGTGATTGGATCACGGGGGCAGTTCTCATGCTGTTCTCATGCTAATGTGTTCTCATGCTAGTGTGTTCTCATGTGTTCCCCATGATTGGATCATGGGGGCAGTTCTCATGCTGTTCTCATGCTAGTGAGAGCTCATGCTGGTATGTTCTCATGCTAGTGAGATCTGATGGTTTTATATGGCACTCTTCCCCCTTCACTTCTCACTCTTCTCTCTCCTGCCACCACATGAAGAAGGTCCTTGCTTCCCCTTCACCTTCCACCATGACTGTAAGTTTCCTGAGGCCTCCCCAGCCATGTGAAACTGTGAGTCAATTAAATCTCTTTCCTTTATAAATTATCCAGTCTTATGTATTTCTTTATACCGTGAAAACAGACTAATACAAACAATGAAGGAGAAATCAAGATATTTTAAAAGAAAACAGAGAATTTGCTGCCAGCCAATCTATTTTAATAATTCTAAAGGAAGTTCTTCAAACTGAAAGAAAATTATAAAAGAAGAAACTTGGACGATTAGCAATGAGGACAGTAGAAAGGATAAATAATACCTCTATTACATTTACCCATACATAAATTATTTATCTCTTATGGGTAAACATAAGAGACTACCCACGTTTTGTGGTTTAAAATTATGTTTGACAGTTGAAGCAAAACCTATCATGTCATGTGATGAGGTTCTCAGTGTAATTAGAGAAAATATTTGAGATAACTATATTATAATGGGGAAGGGTAAAGGTATGTAAATGAAAACAGGGTTTCTAGATTCCACTTAAAGTAATAAAATGTTGACACCAGTAGACTGTAGTAAGGTATGTATGTATAACATAATACCAACAGCAAACACTAAAAAAAAAACTACTCAAAAAGATACAGTCAAAAACTCGATAGAAAAAATAAAATGAAATTCTAAAAAAAAAGCTTAAGTAACCCATATGAAGGAAGTAAATGGGAAACAAAGGAAACAAACAATATAAATAATAACATGGCAGACTTACCTATAACTATCAATAATGCAAGATAAAATGTCAGCCTGCAAAATATCCATACACTAGGAATGTAAAATTTAAAAATGATATGGTTTGAAACTGGATTTCATAAAAATTTAAAACTTTGCCATTCAAAAGACACAGGTAAGAGAATGAAAGGGCAATCTCCAGAATGCAATACAACTCCTGGGCACTTCCCTTAAAAAATAAAAAAGTTATGTTCACACAAAAACCTGTCTATAGCAGCTGTATTCATAATTGCAAAAGACTAGAAAAAACCAAAATGTTCTTCAATAGATGGATAAGGTGGTCCATCCATAAAATGGAATATCATTTAGCAATAAAAAGAAACAGATTAGATTAACCAACCTAAATGAATCTCAAACACGTTATGCAGAAAGAAACCAGTCTCAGAAAGTTACAGCCTGTGTGATTCTATGCATATGACAGTCTGAAAAAAGCAAAGCTATAGGGAAGGAGAACAAATCAGGTATTAGTGGCCGTGGGAGGATTTGACTACAAAGGGGCAGGATAAGGAAATTTTTTGAGATGATAGAACTATTTGGTATACTGATTGTGGTGGTAGTTACTCAAATTTATATATATATTATAACTCGTAAAACTGCACATTAAACATTCAACATACTACATACAACGTTAAAAAATTTCTGGCCTCAAAACAAACTTGAATGATTATAGCACTGATATTTAATGCCTGATTGTTTTATCATGACACTTTTTGACATTAGTTTTTAACATTTTTGACTTTTTTTTTTTTGAGACGGAGTCTCGCTCTGTCGACCAGGCTGGAGTGCACTGGCGCAATCTCGGCTCACTGCAAGCTCCGCCTCCTGAGTTCACGTAATTCTCCTGCCTCAGCCTCCAGAGGAGCTGGGACTACAGGCGCCCGCTGCCACGCCCAGCTAATTTTTTGTATTTTTAGTAGAGACGGAGTTTCACCGTGTTAGCCAGGATGGTCTCGATTTCCTGACCTTGTGATCTGCCTGTCTCGGCCTCCCAAAGTGCTGGGATTACAGGCGTGAGCCACCGCGCCCGGCCGACATTTATTTTTAACATCACATTTCATTAAGAATGTTTCATACTAAGCATGTTTCCATGTAAGTTCCCTGAGAGTAGAAAGTCTGTCTGGTGCTCTCATTTCACTGACCTAGCCGACTGACTACCACACAGCACTCAAACACATTTGTTACCTGAATAAATGTTCCACAAAATAATGCAACCCTCCCCCAAAAAGCTTACATTAAAGTTTATTCAATTCTTTAGCATTCTTTTAAAAATTTTTTCATTACCTGTTACTAAATTAAGACTGACCTAAAAAATAACTATTTCACAAATTGCTATCACATTAGTGAATATCAACATATTTCAGGGAAAATGTCCACAGTTTAATAATGACTTGGCATTTAATTCAAGGAGGTATTCGTAAAGTGCAAATATTGCTGAGTGAACAGATCAGGATTCTGACTTATCTAATTTTAAAAAGGCCTCATTACTTTTTCTTTAGTTCTATTTCATTAACGAATAAAATAAACTCCAAATGAATCACTTATAGGTAATCCTTCCTAAATTTTCTTGAATAGTTAGATTAGGTCTCTCAACTAATTCACTTCATTCAAAATTACTTCCTTTTTTAGAGACAGGTCATTAAAGATCATCAGATAAAGCACTGATACATTTACAACATGGATGGACCTTGAAAATGTTATGCTAAGTGAAAGAAGACGTAGTCTAGGACCACATATTACATGATACCATTTATAAGAAATGTCTAGAATAGGCAAATCTATAAACGCGGGAAGATTAGTAGTTTCATAGGGCTGGGCAGGATGGATAGGAGGGTTGCGGAGTGACAACAAAGTCATGTGGGCTTTGGTGGGGAGAGTAGGGGGGTGATAAAACTGCTCTAAAATAGACGTGAAAATGGATGGTACAGCTCTGAATATACCAGCGAATTGTATACTTTATATAAGTGAATTGTATGACTTGTGAGTTATATTTCAATAAAGCTACTGAAATTATTAGGAAATGCCTCTGGGACAAATCTATGAGTCTATAAAATAGTTTTCAAGATAAGAGACTTCATTATAGCATCGAATATTTAGAACTAATATACTACACTTTAAGAGGTAAATGGGAGTATACAACATTTAAATCTCATACGGTCTGGTCATTTCCTCAAAAGTTTATCATTACATAGAAAAGGCTGTAAACAAAAGTTATATATGTTATCATATAGTATACGAAATAAGCTTCTCATTTACACCTAAGAAAATTCAGTGACATTTAATTACATTATGTCATAATGAGGCTAAGTTCTAGCAACCTAAAAGACATCTAGGCTTTAAAAAGCTGTATGCCTGACTGTCAGAAATTAACTCTAAATGAAGAAATAGTTAAGTAGCAGAAGAGGTTAATTATATTGGTCTAACTCCTTTTAGTCTTAAAAATAAATAAATAAATGTTCTTTATTTGCCAGGCTGAATATAATAGCCTGTGAATTATAAGATCAAGCAACCAACTGTATGTTTTCTAAAACATGAATATCCTTCATCAAGTTTTATACTTAGGGCAGCTAAAAGACCTATGTGGAAAAATCAGCAGTAAGCCCAAAGGACAGGCAGTGCACAGCAAGAAAGAAGGCAATTCCCTCGTGTCTTTTGCAGGTCACTACCAAGGACCATGTTAGCAGATCCACACGAGACCCTTAACAGGCAGTTCTGCTGCTACCAGTAATTAGCTTGGACAGCTCCAGCTCCAAGAGTAGCAGCAAGGCTACACCATAATGAGCTCAGCTGGGATTAGCAGGACAGGGCAGGGAACCAAGAGAGCTCAGGCATTCTGCATTGCGTATGTATCTGGGAGATCAAACAAGGATGGCTGGGTAGGTTATCCCCTCTCCACCTCATTCCAAAAATGAAGCATGGCAGTGTCTAAAATACAGGCTAATGAAGAGCGACACCTCCAACAGATGAGAGCCACACTAATTAACACAATCCCTAGATCATATTATACAGTTTCTGTTAGAGCTAGCAACTGTGCAACTTGTTATTGCATAATACATATATATTTTTTAAAGCTAGTCTTTTTTTCTTTACTTTTATTGGCAAAAATCAGATTATTTCAAATTGTATAAAGTGTTTCTTTAATGGCCTTTAAGCCACAAAAAAATTTCTCCCAAATATTTTATCTAAGTCCATATTGTTAAAAATGAAACTCACTTTTGAATCATTAGCTCCTGGTTTTCCCTTTTGAAATATGCCAGTTCATTCCACACAGCATCACAATCTTCTTGTCGAAGTTGTTGGGGATCTGCTCTCTTTATTTTCCCGATTTCAGTCCTATTTTCAAAACAAAGTTGCTTTTTTCATTAACATGTCTGAAGTACAATAAAAATTATTTTATACATTCCTTAAAATTTAAAAATATCTATTGACCAAATTTCTAACTCGAGTTCACCATTTATTGATTGAATTTCCTAAAACCTAAGCATGTAGAAATCAAAACCCTCTATCATAATTTTTTGAAGCTAAACTGCTAGTATGGAAAGCAAACTTTTAATCAGACACATGATATTCTAAGGTCTATTGCTCCCATTCAGTCTAGTAGTAATAAAAATAGACACTGTAGAATTTTAATGGTCCCCCCCCCCGCACACAAAAAAAATCTACCTGCAACCAACTCATCTGCAATTTGCTGCTAACCAAGATGAATGTGGTATAGTGCCCTTATCTTTTTTTAAAAAAAACACCTATTACCAGTGAATACGTCAGAAAGTAGATTTCACTCTTCTAATGATTAGTTAAAAGTCAGGTGAACAGAGGATAAAACTAGGACAAACTGCTTTATCACTGCTTTACTAGCAAGTGATATGAAACACTTCCACTCATCAAAGAAAAAAATTAGATGTGACAATTATCTACAAGTGATGCCAAATGCCCTTTACTTTTCATTTTCTGAACATAAAACAAATTCTTCATTTTTATTTTGTAAAAGTGCTGTACTGGCCAATTTAGAAACACTATTTCTCTACAGAACAGACCAATGTGTATCATCAACATTGCCCTAAAGGATCCATCTCAAAAGATGAGAGGGTAGTAGATTTTCTGTACTCATTCAGTCCTTTGCCCTCTGTTGATACTGTTAACAGGGGAGCCACTTACGACTAACCAAGATCTGAACACCTGTTCAGAGCAACTGAACTGAGACCGCCAATTCATTCAGATAAGCTGGAGAACAAACTGATGGATAGTAAAGATCTTCAAATTGCATACTAGGTTGAAGTAGTTTTAAGATAGTTAACTATATATGTGAATTTCATATTTCTCTAGTCTTTCCATTAAAATTTAAACACTTTTGGAGTTATAAACATTTTAACACCAGTATTTTATTTATTTGAAAGCAATTTTTTCAGTCACATGGATATTAACCATTTTTGCTTTAAATCACATACTTTTAAGTTATTCCACTGATATTAAAAATGTGTACAATAATTCATAATCATTGGCTGCTAATGATATCTGCAAATGTGAGGAAAATTTGTAGTTATTACCAACACAACTTGTTATATTTTCCATTTAAAAATTCACAATAAAGATTTGACTACCAAATAATTTCTTTAAAACCAAACAAAAGCCATTAAGACACCTATATAATGCTACTCCATTCCATTTAATATTTAGGGATATGCCTTTATGAGCTATGTAACTCACATGCCACCGCCTTCTTCCCACTGTTTTAATTGCTCTTTTACTGCTCTGTAGTTGGTCTGTAACATCTGTAGCCTTTCCTTGCGTTTTTCATGGGCATCTCTTAGCTCATCATTTTCTTGGCTCTGTAGAACACAAAAAGAGCAAGTATAATAGGTTTGAAGAAAGTATTAATATAATGTTTCAAATAAAAGGTTACCCATCTAAATACAAAATGTGAAAGAAAATAGTGTGTAAACATGAATGAATCTGTAATATGTATCTAAGCAGAAAAAAGAATTCTTCTAGTCGCAGAATACATTTGCTTGATAAATTCAACTCAGTCAATGCATTTTTTAAGCTGCTCAAATAATTTCAAAATTTTACCATTAAGATAGTTTCACTCCTTTCCCTGTTGTTAACATACATTCATAAGCCTATCTTACACATTTTTAATTATTTTCTTTTTCAGCATAAGGTTTTATCTATACATAAACCATGATTATTTTGTTAAAGTGAAAATATAATTAGTATAAGGACATTAATCAGAGTAAGAACAATTATTTAGCACATGAATTCATAATTAACATGTACTAAGATACAAGGATTACACATAAGGAAGAAAATGAGACTGGACCTATGTTAGAAGGAGCATAGTTTAACCTTCTGGGGTTGTACCATGAAGAACTGGAAAGGGAAAGTTAGGCTTACAACTCTTAAAGAGGTTGTAAACCAAGACATCCAAACATTACTTTGTTGTGTCAATACCTAGGTTAGACAATTATAGTCAACTACTTTTTTATTTATTTTTATTTTCCTGGAAACAGGGCTTCCCTCTGTGGCCCAGGCTGGATTTCAAAGCTCACTGCAGTCTCAAACTCCTGGGCTCAGGCAATCTTCCCATGTCAGCCTCCCAAGTAGCTAGGACTACAGGCGTGCAGTACCACGCCCAGCTAATTTTTTATTATATTTTTGCAGAGACAGGGTCTCACTATGTTGCCCAGACTGGTCTCGAACTCCTGGTATCAAATGATCCTCCTGCCTCAGCCTCCCAAAATGCTGGAATTATAGGCATAAGTCACTGTGTGCGACACAGTCAACTACTTCTAAATGTATATAGCACATGAGCTCAATTTTCATTTTTAGATATACATAAAATGAATTTATAAAGACCAAATTCTTAGTCCTCAGAAGATATATGCACATGACTATAAACTGTGTTTCTCAAAGTGAAATAAGTAACTTCTTCAGTTTCTTTCCTCATGACAATTTCAAATATTTTAATAACTTTTATTCATATTTCTGCATGAATGAACTTGTATTCTTATTTGGTGGAAGTAACAGATACTCTCTAATATTATAGTGAGGTGAGATGAGTAGGCATATGGTAATCAGAAAGACCTGAATTCCATTCTTGGAGCTTGCTCCTGTTAGTGGCATTATGTTAAGAACATCACTGAAATTAATTCAAGTTTTTTCCTGAAAAATATGGAAAAGAAAAAAGAGGTTTGAATTTTGACGAACTAAGTTAAGTTAGTTGGTGGGGCCCCAGCCCCATTAAGGACACAACGCAAAAGTTAGCTTCTTTCAGTCTCTTTTCCCCACATGTTAACAGTGATGCCCTTATCTTTTAGAAACCAAGTAACTGTTTTCTTGACCTCTCATCTAAACAGTGAGATAGTACTTTATAGAGTCTGCATTATTTTACTGGAATTCTAGCTGTCTCAGCAGTATGGGTAGTATGTCATTCTACTTTCACTGTTTCTACTAGGATAGTTCTCTCAAGTAGTTATTAAGAAGTATTTGAGTTTTGTTTGTAACAAGAAGTGTTCTACATGCCATACAGAAATGAAAGTGCTTGATGAAAAAGCAGAAGGGATTCCGTTGACAAAGGCATTCAAAATAAATGTTTCTTAAGTAGTTTTAGAAGATATACAAATCACACATAATGTAAATTTGCTAAAGTAGGATAGTTTAATACATGAAGTAAAAGTAAAAAATTCAGGTTATTGAGTTCATTTTTGTTCATTTCAATTTAAGAACCATATATGAAGAGTCCATTATATGTAGGATGTTGTGCTGATAAGAGTTCAAATCTAGCTGCTCAAAGTTAACTAAATTTTACTTTGATCTAGTTACTTAAATTCAGTTATCTCAGGTTACCCATCTTCAAAATAGAAGCTATTTATATCTCTTCTTCTAAGACACAGAGAATAACTGAGTCTTGAACGTGAATTTTTCATATTAATTTGGTAAACTATCCAAATACTACTTAACTTCTTTGAATAAAAAGCTTTCTAATGTTAAGTATGTGAAATAATTTAAGTTAGCAAAATAGGAGATTAAAAATTAATAATGTTGATACCTTCTCATATATGAACATGAGTCAATTATGTTTATTGAGATTCCTTAAAAACTAGGAAAAAAATAGTGATTTCAGCAAGATATATTATAAATTTATTAATAAAATGATTTAATTACAAGAAATTAATAGGCTGGGCGCATTGGCTCATGCCTATAATCCCAGCACTTTGGGAGGCCAAGGCAGGCAGATCACTTGAGGTCAGGAGTTTGAGACCAGACTGGCCAATATAGTGAAACCCCATCTCTTAAAAAAAAAAAAAATTAGCCAGGAGTGATAGCAGATGCCTGTAATCTCAGCTACTCAGGAGGATGAGGCAGGAGAATCACTTGAGCCCCAGGAGGCAGAGGTTGCAGTGAGCAAAGATGGCACCACTGCACTCCAGCTTGGGCGACAGAGAGAGACTCTGTCTCAAAAAAGGAAAAGAGAAGAGAAGAGAAGAGAAGAGAAGAGAAGAGAAGAGAAGAGAAATTAACAGACTATATTGGAAGAGATTCATGTCAAAACATAATTTCAAAACAAACTTAAACTAAAATGTCTATCTTATGTTAAAGACTTCTATGATAGCTTTCTATAATTATTCTTCATTGAATCAAAGTTCTTCCCTCAAACTCTTATTTTACAATGACTTTCTTAAAAATTATTATATATAAACTCAGTATCTGGGGAATGATTAAAGTTCTTTGTTAGAGTCATCAGAAATTGAGTAAACAGAACCTCAAAGATTGACCCAAGATGTGAAAATAAATAGAAAGGGACGTACAAATTTTCTCAATTACTTTCACAATGATCCTCTGTTAAATTCATAGAACAAATTGAGATTCTTATACGTATTGACACTATTTTAAGGATTTTTCAGTACTGCCTTAACTACCATTAGTCATTGAATTCATGTGTTTTCCCTAATTGTCCATAGAAACTAACTATATTACACCATTAAACCAAAGACTGAGACTCAATAAAAATCTCCTGAGCTCTATATATCGTACATGATGTGCCAGACTCTGTACCAGGCACTTCAGTTAATAAAAGCAGTGAATGCTGCCCCTTCTGATTCCCAAAGCTTTAGTGTAAAGTGTTCAAAATTACCAAATAATTTTGATTTTCCTATAGTAATTTCAATAAGTGGCTCTTTCCACTAAGTATTAATTATAGAAAAAAAAGTTTTATCCTATGCAATACCATTCAGGACATAGGCATGGGCAAAGTCTTCATGACTAAAACACCAAAAGCAATGGCAACAAAAGCCAAAATTGACAAATGGGATCTAATAAAACGACAGAGCTTTTGCACAGTAAAATAAAGTATCATCAGAGTGAACAGGCAACCTACAGAATGGGAAAAGTTTTGCAATCTATCCATCTGACAAAGGGCTAATATCCAGAATCCACAAGTAACTTAAACAAATTTACAATAAAAAAAAAACAACCCCATCAAAAAGTGGGCAAAAGATATGAACAGACACTCTGCAAAAGAAGATGTTTATGTAGCCAACAAACATACGAAAAAAAGCTCATCATCGCTGGTCATTATGCAAATCAAAACCACAATGAGATAGCATCTCACACCAGTTAGAATGGTGATCATTAAAAAACTAGGAAACAACAGATGCTGGAAAGGATGTGGAGAAACAGAAATGCTTTTACACTGTTGGTGGGAGTGTAAGTTTGTTCAAACATTGTGGAAGACAGTGTGGAGATTCCTCAAGGATCTAGAACCATAAATACCAGTTGACTCAGCAGTCCCATTACTGGGTATATACCCAAAGGATTATATATCGTTCTACTATAAAGACACATGCACACATATATTTATTGCGGCACTGTTCACAATAGCAAAGGCTTGGAACCTACCCAAATGCCCATCAATGATAGACTGGATAAAGAAAATGTGGTACATATACACCATGGAATACTATGCAGCCATAAATAAGGATGAGTTCATGTCCTTTGCAGGGACATGGATGAAGCTGGATACCATCATTCTCAGCAAACTAACACAGGAACAGAAAACCAAATACCACATGTTCTCACTCATAAGTTGGAGTTGAACAATGAGAACACATGGATCACACACTAGACCCTGTTGGGGGTGGGGGGCTAGGGAAGGGATAGCATTTAGAGAAAGACCTAATGTAGGTGACAGGTTGATTGGTGCAGCAAACCACCATGGCACGTGTATACCTATGTAACAAACCTGCACGTTCTGCACGTGTATCCCAGAACTTAAAGTATAATTTTTTTTAAAAAAAAGGTTTTATAGATGAGCCTTCTGCTTTAATTTTACTTGCTTCTTAATTTACTATATCTAACAGTACAGTATTTACATAATTCTTATAAAATTATCAAAATCTAAACTATTAAAAATAAAACTCAACTAGATATTATTTGCAAATCATTTGATAGACATAATTCATAAGAAAAAATCTTTTAAAATGCAGTTTCATCCAAAGATTCATGTTTTGGGGATCCTGCTGTCAAAGTGTAAATCAGGCATTAAATTAGTCCTAGAGACTATTGTTCCTTTATCTCACTTCAGCAATAGACAGTAAAATTTTGTGAAAATGTAAATATAAGATATATATAGCTCAAAGAAAAACATTTCTTCATTTTAATACTGCCAGAATACATGCCAGCTGAAGTCATCCATCAAAAGTTGGATATCTTAAAATAAATATTTTTCAAAATATCCAAATATTTTATTTATAACCTTCTAACAAACACAGGTTAACTGTAGTTTGGATTATGATCCAAACTTTGACATATAGTAGGCAAAGGCAAAATA